GACGCGCGGTCTGTGGTGTAACCGCCAAGGCATGCAACCCACAAGAGCACGCCGCCCTTCACTCGTCCCGGCATTGTAGGGACGCGCGATCGATGGTGCAACGACTACGGCGAACGTTTACTTTAGTACCCCCCCTCCCCCCCCCGCCGCCCCGGTTGTCTGAAAACGACCTGCTGTGGCCGCAGGTACGGCACGGACGCGGCGGGAAAAGCCCCGGCTGTGCCCTTGTGGGTGCGACAGATGGCATCCCTTGCGCGTCTCGCCGGGCGCACGGATGCTGCTGCCGCTGCTGCTAGCGCCGGCGGGAGCGGCGACGGCAGTGACCCCCACCCAAACGACGGAGGACCCTCCACGCTTGTGGGAGGAAACGGCGGTGCGGCAGCGGCGGCAGCAGAAGGGGATGGCGCTCACGCGGTATCGGGGGCGGGTGCCGGTGCCGGTAGCACGGAGGAGGGGGCCCGTGGAATCGACAGCAGTAACGGCCTCCGCGGGGGCGGCGTCAGATATTGTTGGCGGACGCCGGCGGCGGGCAACATCGCCGTGCGGGGACATCGCAGAGGAGGATGTTCCTTCGCGGAAGGCGGTACTGCCGCCCGGGAGGGGCTCCGCAGAGGCGGCGGCTTTCTCCCCGTGTTGGCGGCTAGGTCGCGCCGCGGTGTGCTGGTCGGGAGAGCGGCAGACGTTGCCAGGCGGTTGCGAGGAGGCGGCTGACACGGGCGGCGCCGCCGTCAATTGTGGTGTTTGTGGGTCTTGTCATAGGGAGGGTTTTGTACGAGGCTTTTGCGGGGATGGAGGCGATCACGCGCGCCCCTCGGGGCAACTCGCTGGTGTTTTGGTTGACGGAGAAGGTGAAGGTGGTGGTTGACTTCTTTGTTGGGGTCACCGGCATGTTAAACCTCTCCGAAGGGTTGTGCGATCGACCGCTGTCAGAAGAGACCACCCCGCAGCCGGTGACGCCGGAGTGTGACGCGACGGAGCCAGCTTGTTTACACGGCGGCGGCGGTGGGACGAAGCGTACGATACTCCGACGCCGAAATTCAATTTTCGAAAGAAGGCTTGATGGGGACAAATGTGTGTGGTGTTGTGTGTGGTTCCGGGGGGGGGGGGGGGGGGGGG